AAGTCAAATTACAAGCACCTTAAACACGGATCGACAACATCACACCACAAGGATGCAATTTAACATGAAACTATGAAGATTATGGGGGGAAAAGACCTGCATTTGTGGCAGAGCAGGCAAACGTGGTGGTTTCAAGGGTTGCGTAAGAATCTCATTAGATGAGGAAATGTTATAAACATTTATAAACAGTTGTAAACATGGATTTCAAAGGTTAGAATTGTTTACAAACAGACCTGGAGGAATAGAATGAGTCTTACGAATAATAATCTAGTCATATAACGTTTATGGCTCTGATGTCCTTCAAGCACTTCTTTTTGTTCTTGGTTTCAAGTTTAAAACAGCTTTGCACCAATATACTGTGGGCTAAAATCTTAATGCCACCCACACTATTGAGTGATGCATACAAAAATTAAGAAATCATTTGAAAACTCTCAGTTTATCTGGATTTTCTGAATTTTATAACAGATGAGAAATGTGAAATTGTAATATTTAAGAAAAAACATTCTATACATATTTATTGAAATTAAATTACTAATTTTAATTTATATTTTCTACATTTCTTTTGACTAGCCAATAAAGCACTGGCATAGAAATACTGTTTTAATTTGTTGTGATGAAATTTGAAAATCAACGTTATTCAATCAAAGTCAAAACAGTAGTAGTGTGCCAGATTTTTTTCTAATGTCCAGTGGAAAATATTTTTACTTGTCCCATTTAAAAATAATAATAACAATTTAGCCACATATTTCAAATAATGTGTCTTGACAAGCAAATTCTAGTTATATACATACAGTATATTTTATTTAGCATTATTTTAAAGACAAGTTTTTAAAAGGGGTGAAGCAGTGACGCAGTAGGTAGTGCTGTCGCCTCACAGCAAGAAAGTCGCTGGTTCGAGCCTCAGCTCAGTTGGCGTTTCTGTGTGGAGTTTGCATGTTCTCCCTGCATTCGTGTAGGTTTCCTCCAGGCTCTCTGGTTTCCCCCACAGTCCAAAGACATGCGGTAAAGGTGAATTGGGTAGGCTAAATTTTCTGTAGTGTATAAGTGTGTGTGTGTGTGTGAATGTGTGTGTGGATGTTTCCCAGAGATGGGTTGCGGCTGGAAGGGCATCTGCTGCATAAAAACTTGCTGAATAATTAATAAAGGATTAATAAAGGGACTAAGCCGACAAGAAAATGAATGAATTTTTTAAAAACTATAATAAAAACGTAAGGACAGCAGTCTGTCCAGGTTAGTGTCCTCACCCGGAGAGCTAAATAAATAAATAAATAAATAAATAAATAAATAAATGAATAAATAAATAAATGGAGACCTTTTACACAAATGCTATTGTAAGGATGTAAGCAAGACAATTAAACCATATTGGTAGATAGAGTTAATAAATGCAACTTTTGTTTTATTAATATGAATTGTTGGTGATTAGATGGGTGTTGTTGGCCTGAGTGGGAAGCTTTCAGTGAACAAAGGAAAATTAAGACCTGTTTAAAATAATTTAAGACCAACAAAACCATTTATTTGTTTTAGAAATGTAAGATTTTAAGACCCCGTGGACACCCTGGTGTGCCCTCTAAAACTGAATATAAACAAGCATGAAAACATGCCACCTTTTTTTTTTTACTAATTGTAATATAATGCATTATCAGAATAAATGTTTTTAGTAGTTTACAAAATAAAAAAAACTTGCTTTACTTAAACACTTACAACTGTAATTCCAGAGAAACTGAGCATTTTGCAAAAATTGTAAAAGAAAGGAAGGAAGGAACGAAACAACAAACGAACGAAACAACAAATGAATGAAACAACAAAGGAAGGAAGAAAAGAAGGAATGAAACAACGAAGGAAGGTAGGAAGGGAGGAAGGAATGAAACAATGAACGAACGAAACAATAAAGGAAGAAACAAACAAACAAAACAATGAAGAAATAAGTGAGCGAATGAACAAAACAATGAAGGAACGAAACAATAAATGAAGGAAGGAAGGAACGAATAAACAAACGAAACAACAAAATAAGAAACAAATTAACAAACAAAACAATGAACGTAACAATGAAGAACGGAAGGAATGGAGAAAGGAACAAACGAATGAAGAAAGAAAGAAAGAAAGAAAGAGAGAAAGAAAGAAAGAAAGAAAGAAAGAAAGAAAGAAAGAAAGAAAGAAAGAAAGAAAGAAAGAAAGAAAGAAAGAAAGAAAGAAAGAAAGAAAGAAAGAAAGAGGGAAGGAAAAAAGAAATAACAAAGGAAAGAAAAAAGAATAAAAGAAACAATAAAGGAAGGAAAGAAAGAAAGAAAGAGCAAGCGAGGAAGGAAGGAATGAACGAAGGCAGAAAGAAAGAAAGAAAAGAAAGAACAAAAAAGCAAGGAAGGAAAGAAAAAAGGGAGGAGGGAACGGAGAAAGGAAAGAAAGAAATAAACCAATGAACGAACAAATGAATGAATGTGCAAGGTAATTTAGGAAAAAAGTGTCTCATTATTATATATAAAAAAAATATATATATATATATATATATATATATATATATATATATATATATCCATACATATATATATATATATATATATATATATATATATATAGAGAGAGAGAGAGAGAGAGAGAGAGAGAGAGAGAGAGAGAGAGAGAGAGAGAGAGAGAAATTTAAAAAATGTATGGTGTTTATGATGTTCACAGCTCAGTAAACAAATGTATCCATCACTCCTGTTGTCACGATTTAAAAATATATATATATATAAAAAAACAATTAAAAAAAACTGGAACATAAAGAATTAAAGTAATCAAAGCTGTAGATCTACCTTATCTCCCATAAGTATTGCAGTTCCACTTATGTAACAGAATGTATCAAGTAGTACGATGCGCAAATATGCTTACAGTAAATAAAAACCTAAGCATGCAATGACCCTCTCTTTTGAGGATGCTATTTATCTCCCATACAGAAGCAGATGTGCTGAATCTACAGAGAGGGAGGATGAGATAAAAAGATGAAAGGACTGCGAGTTAAAGAGGAATGGATGAAAGCTAGGTGAAGGGCTCAGGCCCGACAGGACAGGCACATGAAAGCTGGAACCCTGTTGCGTTTGAGTAGCGTTTAATTCAAGAGGGCCTTTAAACCACCCCTGAAGGCCTGAACACACATATTGAACCAGACAGGTGCACAAATTACGCACATAAACCACAAATGCAAAAATATGTGGAAATATTCCTCTTTAGAAAGTGCAGGAGGTATATTGGTTCGCTTTAGCTGGTTTTCTATTTTAAATTATGAAACCTTATGTACTGTATCAACCATCCATCCATCCATGTAACCTTATGAGGATGTTTTCATCCATTCTGGGGGGATGACCATAACATTATTTCTACTTTTCAGCTAGTGGAATGATTTTTGGTGACAAATCTTATTTTGACACAAATTTTGAGAAAATGCTTTGAAAAAAAAAAAAAAGCCCCAATGATACTCTCTGGGCAAATTTACTACCCTTTTCTTCTGTTCGGGAGTAATACTTTGACTGAATTAAACTGCTGTAAAAATGCATCAGACATGTATGTGTGTATATATATATATATATATTTTTTTTTTTTTTTTTTGCATAAATCTGTTAATCAACCTCAGTCCTGATCAAAACCTCTAAATTGCATAGAAAATTACAAGATTTAAAACTCTTTAATTGACAAATTTACAAATGATGTCATCGAATTGGTGAAAAAACACACAAAATGACAAAATTTCAATATAAAAAGTAATTGTGGACTGGATTTTTAAAATCTTTTATCAAAGTCTTGGACGTGAAACAACATTGCCTTTGATGCACTGTTTTTTTTTTTAAACTTAAATTTTTTTCTTCCTAATTTACTGTTGTTGGCTGTTTTTGCCCCATTGAATTCCATTATAACCACATTTTTTATTATAAAACCATGACACTATATAATCATGCATTTTTCATTGTTGGAGGTTTTCTCTATGGGAAAGAGGTAAAACTTGCAATTTTTACAGTTGAAAAAAGCTTAGTTTCTGGATTTTATATGGAGTATAACAGCTAATTAAAATGTGTGTGTTTGTCTGTGAGCGTGTAAGAGTGTGAGAGTGACCTTTACACACTTACCTTGATGTATCTGACAAAATCAAAATATGCATCTCAGCTTTCAGAACTACATGGAGTAATCAAAAACTAAGACTATTTATGTACCATCAAATGTGGTTATAATGGACGTCAATGGTGCAAAATAAAAATAAATAAATAAATAAAAATAAGGCCACCAACAGTAAATTAGGGAGAACAAATGAAAATCTAACAATGCATCGAAGCCAATGTTGTTACTAATCATTCACATGTCCAAGACTGTGATAAAAGGAAAAATAAATCCATTCCACAATTACTTTTTAAATAGATTTTGTGTGTGTGTTTTTCACTAAATGAGTGACATCATTTGTGAATTTGGCATTTAAAGAGTTAAAATACTGTAATTTTATAAACAATCTAGTATTTTTTATCAGGACTGAGGTTGATTAACAGATTTATGCAAACAAAAAAAATGAAGCAAATTATTTATCTGATGCATTTTTACAGCGGTTTAATTCAGTGGATGTTTTCATCCCGAACATTACAAAAGGGTGGTAACAAACAGTGCACAAGAGTAAACAATATTTAAATATATGTCCAACTTTGCCGATAACTTACAAAAACTTCCCAACTTCCCATTTTTTTTTTGTGTGTATATTCAAATAAACGTTATGGTTAAACTTATAATATAAAATATATTAAACTGACAAAAACAGCTTCCAAACCTAAATAATTAAGTTAGAAACATAATTAACTTGGTTAAATAAGTTATAATTAAAATCAAAATGCATGATATCATATAATTTGTTCCATTGAAGATAACTTGTCCTGGTTTATATCCAAACAAATAACCCGGCAATGCAAGTAAAGCATGATGGAGTTATGAACGTGTATGTAAACACTCGGTCATTAATAAAAGCACAAAGAATGTCATAAAAGCTTTCTTACTCTCTCTCCTTCTCTGTGAGTTTGTCAGTGATGGTGTCTTTAATAGTGGAGCGGGAACCCTTGTGGATGACTGGATACCTGAGCGGAATCTGCAGGAAGCATGAAATCATCAACACCAGGTGTGCCGTGTAGCCAAGAGCCACTGCAATACTCCCATCATCCTTTGCTGCAGAGAACAGAGAAAAAGACGGAGGGGGAAATGTGAACATGTTCTGTATAGAAAACTTGACTGATTTGCAAATAGAACTCATTAAAATAATTCAATGCTAAATGATATAAAGAAAATACTGAGTTAAATTTAACCATAAGAATGAAGAAGGAATAAAACTTCATTTTCCAACCAAATACTTGAGATTTAAATTTTCAGTGTGACATCGCTTCTATTACCAATACAGAAAGAGTGACAAACGGAACAAGATGGTTGGAAGGATGGAACAAATGATAAATGGATGGATGGTTGGATGGAACAAATAATAAATGGATAGATGGAAAAACTGAGAACTGATGGAACATGATAAACTGATGTATGGATAGAACAAATGATAAACTTAGGGAGGGATGAAACAAATGATAAATGGATAGATAGAACAATTGATAGATGGATAGATAGATGGATGGACGGACAGAACAAAAGATAAATGGATGAATGGAATAACTGAAATGGATAGAGAGATAGACGGATAGATGGAAGGACAGAACAAAATGATAAACGGATGAATAAAACAAATGATATATGTAGGGAGCCATGGAACAAATGATAAACGGATGGATGGATGAGTGGATGGATGGACGGACGGTAAGACAAAAGTTAGCATGGATGGATGGATGGATGGACAAAAAGATGGATGGATGGATGGATGGATGGATCAAAAGATAGACTGATGGATGGATAGAACAAAAGATAAACAAAGGGAGGTATGAAACGAATGATAAATAGATGGACGGAACAAATGATAAACAGAGAGAGGGATGGAACAAATGATAAACGAAGGGAGGGAAGAAATGATAAACAGATGAATAGAACAAATAATAAATGGATGGATGGAAGAAACAAGTAGTAAAAGTAGGGAGGGATAGAAAAAGGATGGATTAATGGAACAAAAATGGATTAATGGATGGATGGATAGATGGATGGATGGATGGATGGATGGATGGATGGATGGATGGATGGATGGATGGATGGATGGATGGATGGATGGATGGATGGATGGATGGATGGATGGATGGATGGATGGAACAAACGAATGGGTGGAATGGATGGAACAAACCGATGGATGGAATAGATGGATAAATGGAACAAACTGGTGGATGAATGAAACAACCGGATTGAACAATGGAACAAACAGATGGATGGATGAAACAAACGGGTGGATGAATGGAACAAATGGGTGGATGAATGGAACAAACAGATGGAACAAACAAAGGGATGAATGGAAGAAACGAATGAAACAAAGGGATGGATGAATGGAACAAACAAATGGATGGGACGGATGAACGGACGGATGGAAGGATGGGTGAGCGGACAAATTGAATGGCAGAACATGAATAACAAAATGAACCACAACAAATAAAAGACAGACAGAAGATTTGTACAATTAGAATTTTTTTTTTTTTTAAATAAATGTATTAGTTCAAAAATCATTTTGTTTATACACTACAACTACAACATTCATTTCAGATGAGGTCATGATTTGCACGTTCTGGTTTAAAGGATGAGTCACAACAATTTAAGTTAATTCTCTCCAATCTGAAGTTATAAATCATTGACTGTTTGTTAAGTCAATGGTAGTTGATGAAGGTCTCCTGAGGGTCTTTAAGTTACAGGGAGCTGCATAATAACCTAATACCACGCAAAACTTAAGTTCACCTCAGCGATACCCTTTCCTGATGGGGTCAAAGGCATCACCAGAGGCTAAAACCTACCCTGAAAACAAGGATCGGCTAATGTTAGTGTTTGGTCTTTAAATGTGTATAATAACACTCCAACGTGTACATTTCCTAAATAATTATATGCAATCTTAAATCACTCAGATGGGCCCCATTACTGTCTGAACGACAACCTTTCTATGCATTTTAGGCAAATTCAAATAAAACCCCCAAATTCCGAGTAAAAAACATTTGGTTGCCAAGCAGCTGGAAGGACAACGGGTCAACCTGTTATTACATGTTGTAAAAAGATTTTTTTACTAAAATGTGGCTGTAAAAAAAACACTTCTTGTGCTTTGTTATTAATGTGTGTTTATGGTTGAGACACAATCCTTAACAAACTTTAGCTTACAAAAGGTTTTCAGCTTAGAACAGACTGTTCTGTATTATGAATCACAAACTCACTAAATATGCTTAAAAATTATCATAGTTTTGCAATGATTCTGAATAGAAAATAAATAATTTTTTAATATGTTAATTGTTTAACTTTATTTACAAAAATATTTAATTTGGATATAATATTTTTTAATGGACTGAATTAATGATTCAATGACTCATTAAGTCGCTAGTTTTTTATTACTGTATGAATCAGCATTTTTAACAAGTCATTTAATGGCGGACAAACGGATGAAATGAATGACAGACAAAACAACAAAACAAATGAGAGAACAAACCATAAAAAACAGATATAGCTTTGATAGATTGACAGAATGATAGACAGAAAAAAAGAAAAATAAAACATACTATAAAAGAACAAGAGATGGATTGGTTTGTGTGATTAAATTCTGTGATTGACTTGGATCGTATTAGATCGGGGATTGGATGAAGTGAATGGAGCAGACTGAATGGATTGGACGGATTGAATGTATTGGATTGGATTGGATTGGATTGGATTGGATTGATGGATTGGATGGATGTACTGGATTTAATTGGATTTGATTGGGATGGGTGGATGGATGGATGGATTAGAGTGGATTGAAGTAAATGAATGGATAGGTTGGAATAGATGGATAGGTAGATGGATGAATGGATGGATGGATGGATGGATGGAAGGATGGATGGATGGATGTGGATGTATTTGGATGGTTGGATGGATGGGTTGACAAGATGGATTGGATGGATGTAATTGATTGGATGCATAAATGGATGGATTGGATGGATTTACTGAATTAGGGTGGATGGATTGGAGTGAGTGGATGGATGGATGGATGGATGGATGGATGAATGGATGGATGGATTTGAATAGATGAATGGACGAATTTGGATGGATGAATGGATGGATTGCATTTATGGATTGGATGCATGGGTAGGCTGGATAGATTGAATGGATGTATCGGATTGTATGGATGGATGGATGGATGGATGGATGGATGGATGGATGGATGGATGGATGGATGAATGGATGGATGGATGGATGGATGGATAGGATGGGTAAATTGGCGGATGGATAGGATAGATTAGATTGGATTGAATTTAATGGGTGGATGGATTAAATGGGTGGATGGATGGATGATGGATGGATTGATTGGATGTATAGATTGTATGACAAATGATGCATAGAACAATATAACAACTGATAGAAGAAATTTAAAAAAAATAATTACAGAGTGCTAAATGAATGGATGAATGGATGGATTGATGGATGATGGATGGATGGATGGAAGGATGGATGGATGCAAAAATGATTGACAGATGGATAATAGATGGATGGATCAATTAAACAACATAGAGGAATAGATGAATGGACGAATTTGGATGGATGAATGGATGGATTGCATTTATGGATTGGATGCATGGGTAGGCTGGATAGATTGAATGGATGTATCGGATTGGATGGATGGATGGATGGATGGATGGATGGATGGATGGATGGATGAATGGATGGATGGATGGATGGATGGATGGATAGGATGGGTAAATTGGCGGATGGATAGGATAGATTAGTCTGGATTGAATTTAATGGGTGGATGGATTAAATGGGTGGATGGATGGATGGATGGATGGATGGATGGATTGATTGGATGTATAGATTGTATGACAAATGATGCATAGAACAATATAACAACTGATAGAAGAAATTTAAAAAAAATAATTACAGAGTGCTAAATGAATGGATGAATGGATGGATTGATGGATGATGGATGGATGGATGGAAGGATGGAAGGATGCAAAAATGATTGACAGATGGATAATAGATGGATGGATCAATTAAACAACATAGAGGTTCAGCAAATAATTTAGTCATAAGTTTATGCAGGCACTGTAATAATAAAGCAACTTTCATGTGTACAAATAGTTTTTTTGTTTGTGTTTTTTAAATATGCCAAGTTAAAGCCACATGAATATGTGAACGCCGGCACATGCATGTATGTGAATATGTGTGTCCTTGCGTGCATGGTTCAACCTGGCTCCCATTAACCTCTTGCTTCCTTTGAAGTCAAACCTCCCTGCCTGAAAAAAGCCAAACCTGATTCCCTGCGACACATACAGTGTTGCCTAAAGGACACATGGGAAATGAGATGAATAACAGCCAGCACAACAAAGGACATCACTTGTGGGCATCAAACACAATTCACTCCCCCTATTAAAAAACCCATAAGCCTAACTATAGGGATGTGGGAGATGAATGCCCTAATAAAATCCTTTTCTCTTCTACAATGTGAGAAGTCAGAAGGTCCAACCACGGGTTTGTGCTGAATAACTGGCTTGCTCAAAACCACAAGCTGAAGGCTTTCCTGATCAGAACAGCATGATTGATTGATGGCCTGGAGCCTGTGATCTACAGCCAGACTGAAGAAGGCCAGAAATGAAGGGAATTTCAGCCAGTCGAGCGGAACCGACCAGAGGTTCAAGATGAGTCTAGATCAGATTGTTGATGGGGGTTTTGGTCAATTCAGAGAGTGACAGCAAACCATGGTAATCAGCATCGTAAAAGCAGACACTTTTTAAAAATATTTTTTATTTATTACTTTTTTCTAATATTTATGGCTCTGCACAAATACAATTTTTGATCAACTGGCACTTTAAAGTTACTTGGTCATTTTTATTTGACTATTTGTTTTTTGCTGATATACATCATTGTATTGCAACCCAGGGTTAATCTAGTTAGCTGAATCTAAAAGCATAACATTTTAAGTTTGTTTGTTTTTTTATTTAGATGCTAATTGAAAGATTTTTTTATAAGTAACCAAAACATTTTTCCTTATTTTATTTTTCTTATTTTCACTTTGATTAAATGAAAGTAACATTATTTACATTTGTTTAAATAGAAAAGAACAAAAGAAAAAAATGACAGAAAATTTAACCTAAAACAGAAAATCTCAAAATAAACATCAATTTAAACTATCATTAAAAACCAAAACAGTTACTTAGTGCCATTAAAATAACATTGATATAGGACAGTAAATATTTATATGGATGGCTTGAATTGCGACCATTTTGAGCAATTGTGCCGTTTAATTTTTTTTTTCTAAAAACATACTGAATTGCTCTTCCCTGATGCATAGATCTTATATTGGTTCATATTAGCTGTCAATCACTCAATGCTTTCTGCTGTGAGAAGACAGGGAGCTTTTATGACCGTGGGATATGCAAACGGCTGAATTTTGAGGAAGACGCACTGAAAAGTAGGCTACACGGGTTTGCAAACCTAACTAAAGTTACAAATAATTGCACCAATGAAATTGATGCATGGATAGATGCATGGATGAATGGATGCATGGACGGAGAAAGACGCAATGAAAAGTAGGCTACAGAGGTTTGCAAACCCACCTAAAGTTACAAATAATGGTGGCGAGGGTATCGATGCATGGATGGATGCATGAATAGATGCATTAATGGATGGATGCATGGATGGATGGATGAATTGATGGAGGAAGACGCAATGAAAAGTAGTCTACACAGGTTTGCAAACCAACCTAAAGTTTTAAATAATGGCGCCGATGATATTGATGCATGGATGGATGCATAGATGCAAGGAGGAAGACGCACTGAAAAGTAGGCTACACAAGTTTGCAAACCCACCTCAAGTTACAAATAATGGTGTTGATGATATTGATGCATGGATGGATGGATGGATGGATGGATGGATGGATGGATGGATGGATGGATGGATGGATGGATGGATGGATGGATGGATGGATGGATGGAAGGATGGATGGAAGGATGGATGGATGGATAGATGGAAGGATGGATGGATGGATGGATGGATGGATGGATGGATGAATGGATGGATGGAGGAAGATGCAATCAAATGTGAGCTACACAGGTTTGCAAACCCACCTCAAGTTACAAATAATGGTGCCAGTGATATCGATGCATTGATTAATGCATTGATGAATGCATGTATGGATGGATTGGTGGATGGATTGATGGAGGAAGATGCAATGAAAAGTAGGCTAGACAGGTTTTCAAACCCACCTTAAGTTACAAATAATGATATCAGTGATATCGATTCATGGATGGATTCATGAATGGATGCATGGATGGAAAATCTATGTAAAATCTAACACTATATACATCATCCCCAAAGAAGCTTGACTGCGGTAATTTAGTTATTATACAATTTGCAGTGGTACTCATTTATTTTTTTGTGGGTGCTCCTACATTTTTTCTGGTGCTCCTAAATTTTTTAAGTTGGGACCACCTGTGCTACCAAGTAAAAAGTTTCATTTCCAGCCCTGATATGAAATCTCACACACAAACACAGACATAGACAAGCTCATAAACTACAATTATGCAATTCAAACTTTTAAACTTCAATACAATTAACACATACATTTACTATTTATAAAAAAACACACACTCTAAAAGAACAATTTAAAAAAAAAATTTGCTAAATAAGTTACCTATGTGACATGTAGATTTAGTCGAACATTATTTTGGTTACATGTCAAGTAAATATTTCTTATTTTCAATTAGTTTACCTCAAAACAAAAATAACTTAAACTATTATTATATATAACATTGTTTCATTAAGAATATAAATATATAAAAACTACACAGACATTAAAAGAACAAAATACTAGGGCTGGGCTGATAAATTATATTGAATCGCAATAAAATGTATGTTAATAAAAATGATAAGCTCTAGACTTTTTTACTCCATATTGATCTAAGAGCCAATTACACAGCCGAAATGTGCAACAATGGGAATCTAAAAGTGTGTTCATATCTAATTTTCGGCCACCAAGATGAAGAGATTCAAGATGTATCGAATTTTCAAGATGTATCGAACACGATACATTTCGAGATTTATCAAATTTTCGCACACTGAAAATTTATCGGCCGAAAATATGTCATGCCATTAAATGGACGCTCCAATTTTTGTGGCTTCAGTCGTTGTTGGGGTCCTCTTTTAAATCTGGAAGCATTAACAACTTATATCAAAACATATATATCGTTATCGCACAATATGGAAAGTAATTATCAAGGTTACATCTTTGCCATATCACCTAGCCCTAAAAAATAAGATGACCAGAAACAAATATACAAACAGAAGCAGAAGCTTCTCATTAATGCAGAACTTATAATAAACTGCCAAGCTCCAAACTTACCTTGAAAGTCTTCAGAATTGGGCAATTTGACGCCACAAATCACATAATCGTTCTGATTGTTCTGCAAACAAAAAAAGGAAAGAGCAGAAGAGCAGCGGTGAGCACAGCATTCTGGAAACAAGCATCAGATCCTTCATTTGTTTGGCTGAGGACATTCTGGTCTGACTGCGGTTTTCTGCTCATTTTCTGTGGCTTTATTTTGTAAACTGATTTGACTGGCAGCAGGCACTGAACAGTAGTTCTAGATCGGCATGAAAGCCAGTAACGCCAGAGTCCACAAAGATCTCTGACCACGAACATTCCCAGCATGCCTCGCGTTCCAGCCATCAGCACAACACGAGATGGCTTGAAGTTGTGTGTGTGTGTGTGTATGGAGTTGAAGACTCACCACATCAATGGGATAAATGTAGGAAAGCTCTGATATGAGCTGCCGGCAGCGGAAGGTGAGCTGGGCTTTAGACTTTAGAAACAGCTCTCTGTTGAAGAACAAACACAAGAAATTCAAGTTTTTTTTTTTTTTTTTTTTTTTTTACAAAGTACTTTAATCAGCTGTAAACAGAGAAATTTATACAAAATGTTATTATACAAAAAACAACAATAATATTAAATAATCTGTATTTGACAGCCTTTATTTGATATTATCTTTATTCAAGATTGTTTATGGCATAAAACCAACTCTACGTTTATATAACAAATTAAATTAAAAATCATGTGTTAAATCTTTATTTCATACACTTTATGTGACATAATTTACTGTATATTTATATTAGGTATAACAGGCATACAATGTTAAATATTAATAATAATAATAATAATAATAATAATAATAATATTAATAATAATAATGTCAGAAAAATGTAAGATTAATCTAAAAATTGCATATATATTTTTTTTATTTTACACCAAATAATTATTCCAAAAAAATCACTTTACAATATTAATGGAGACATACAGTACATAATTATAAAGTAATTACAATCAATTAATATTACTCATATGTAATCTTTCAATTAAATAATAAATCTAAATTGTAAAATAAATATATATATATATATATATATATATATATATATATATATATATATATATATATATATATATATATATATATATATATATATATATATATATATATATATATATATATATATTAGGGATGTAACGGTATTGTAAATACCGTCATACCGCAATATTAAATTTTTTCGATATTACCGAAGTCGCATGACTCGGTAAAACTATAGGTCTTCTGAGAAAATTTGCTCAGGCGAATGAAGCAAACGGGAGGTAGCTGAAACTTCATTTCCCATCAGCCCCGGCATGGCCATAATCCTTTGCGGTCTGTTGTCGCTACAGATCCAGTAATGCGGAAATGGAGTGTGCTGCTAGTAGCGGAGATGAAAAAAAGATGGAAATGATCGAACCTAAAGCGGGTGTTGTCGCCGCACGCGTGCTGAATAGCGGTGCTGTCGCGCGCGTTCTGATCAGCTGTGTTGTGGCGCGCGTATTGAAAAAGCGCCGAGGGGGGGTTGAGCGCGCATACTCAAGAGAGGTGTTATCGCGCGCCTACTGAAGGGCTGGACTGGACGGAGGTTGTGTCGCGTCGCGGGGGCACTTTTGATCGTTTTGGAAGGGCATTTTCTATCCAAGACTAAAAAGGGCATGTGCACTGCACAGGTTGAGCCCTATGTGTGCACGTGCCTGCAAGTTGGGGAATACGACTAATAACAGTCATGGGGACTGCAGAAACACAGCACACTGTTCATATTGATGCAGACATTGACTTGTACCGCAAAGAGACCTCTATCTCACTCATGGTTTGTCTTCTCAAGTGGGGGAAAGACAATGCACAACGTTACCCCACTGCTGTCAACATGGACCAAGTCATATCTCTCTTGTCCCAGAAACCTCAGTCCCAAATGAGAGGGGTTTTTCTGTTGCAGGGGACATTGTAAATGCCCAGAAATACCAGCTTTTACCAGATTATAATTATATGATAATTTTCCTTTAAACCCATCTCTATCTAAGTGAGTGATTAAATGTTGAATGTGATGAGTTTTCAACAATACTAAATTGAAACTTAATTTTTTTTTACATGGTTTAATAATTTTTTGTTATTAAAATTGAAGTTCCTGTTTCAAAGCTAACAGATAGATGACTAATTTGTATGTCATTGACACTTTTGGCACTTTTTTGGAGTATTTTCAAAAGTTTTTTTTTTCCTGTAAATGATTCAATAAATACCGTACCGTGACATTCATACCGAGGTATTACCGTACCGTGAAATTCTGATACCGTTACATCCCTAATATATATATATATATATATATATATATATATATATATATATATATATATATATATATAAATAAGTGCACATAATATTTAAGGAAACCTGTGTGCTCACAAACTTGGGATCATTGTTTCAAAAACAATGATTCAGAAACTTGAAGCTAACCATTAAAAAAAACTCCAATGGCATTTGTGTATTTGATGTTGCTTGCTTTGATAATTACATTTATCTAAATTTTAAAAAATAATAATCTGACTTCAAGTGTGACTTCAGTTAAATACGCTTTGAAGCCAAAGAAAGTTAAAAAGAGAGAAGGGAGAAAAAGAAGAGGCAGAGGAATTGACTGCAATGTTTACATTAGTTTAGCTACAGGATGTTCTTTTTGCTAATGAAGCGCTGCACCATCTGTAATCTAGTATTAGTAAGAGCCGCTCAATATCATGACTGCCAAATCACCATGAACTTCCTCTGCTCTGACCCCATCATCACCTTCTTCAATATCATCTTCTTCACCTTATTATTACTCATAATCATCTTTGTCTTCTTCATTAAATTTTATATTATTATCATCATCAACTTCTTCGTCATCATTTTATTCATTATCATTATCATCATCCTCAATCATCATCTTCTACTTTATCATCATCATCCTCTTTTTCTTTTTAATCATCCTCTTCTTCATCATGGTCGTCATTCTTAAAGTCATCATCTTCATCACATTATAATTATTATTTTCATCATCATCATCCTCTTCTTCATCATCATCTACTTCATCATTGTCATTATCCTCTTGACCTTATTCATCATCATCTTCATCTTTGTATTCTTCATCATCAGCATCTTATTATTCATTATTATTATTATTCAACATTTTATCATCATCAACTTCTTCGTCATCTTATTATTCATTATCATCATCATCTTATTCATAATCATCTTCATCATCATATTACTATTATTCATATTCCCCATTTTCATTTCATCTCCATCTTCTTCATCATCAACTAATTATTAATCATCATAATCTTCATCATCCTCATCATCGTATAATGAATAGTTTTTATCATCTTCATCATGTTCATCATTTTCTTCATTATCATGATCATCAACATCTCCAGCTTCATCATCATCTTCGTCATCATCACATTTATCATATCATCAATTTCTGTATCTTATTATTCATAATCTTCATCTTATTCATAATCATAATCTGCATCATCATCATCATCATCATCATCATCATTATATTATTATTATTAATAATTTTAATATTGTTATTCATATTCACCATTTTCATCATTATCTCAATCTTCTTCATCATTTTCATCATCATCATATAATTAATATTCTTCATCATAATCTTTATCATAATCTCCATCTTCATCATCTTCTTCATCTTCATCATCATCACATTATTCATTTTATCATCAACAACCTCTTTGTCATCTCATTATTCATAATCATCTTCATCTTATTCATAGTCATCATCTTCATCGTCTTCTTATTCATTATAATAATCATCATTTTCATGAAATTAATATTCTTCATCATCATCTTCATCATATTCATAAATTTCTTTATCATCATCATCATCATCAGTCCTCCAGTGGTCCAGGCACATTTGTCAGGCGGGCAACACATCATTACCTCAGAATGGCCACAATAAACCCAAGATCTGTCTGGGTCTGCAAGTGCCAGGGGTTGAGAAAATGTTGACTTTTCATGTTGAGCGTTCAGCTACTGCGCTCTGCGACTCCAGGAGGAAGATGAAGAGTAATGATGGAGCGTAATGTGGTGTTCATTTACAGTCTCCAACAGGAAGGAAATAATGATGAGGTTTGAAGGATCGACCTTCCATGTGGGTCCAGCAGGCCTGCTCTACGCCACCACCCAAATCCCCATCCCACCACTGCTAAACTGTGAACATAACTAGAGCCGTCTTTACTGGAAGTGGCTCTCTAATGAGCCAAAAAAAGCAGGAGATGTGAATCTACACCCAGAGACAGCTGTCTGAATGTGTGTGGTTCCGGTGGCGGTCGTTTAAAAGGGATGAATTAATATGTGTATTTATTTAGATTTTTGAAATGTATTCCACATTTAAAGGATAATTTCAGACAATATTACATTTCTGTCTTCTGTTGAACACAAAAATGTTGAATGTGGAACTTCTATTTTTTTCCTACCATGGGTACTGGTTTTCAATATTACTGTAACATCAATTTTTTCTACTTCCAGTTTATCTGACCTTGTTAAGTGTGACGTCACGCGAAGCGGCTTCCGGGTGCAAGTGCTATATCAAACTGGATGGGGAGACTTATCAAATGGTAATAATAAACATTTAGAAAGCGATGTAATACTTTCCAAAATAATGTTTGCAATATATATGTCCATGCCTAATGTCCGATGGCCAGAAAGTGATTTTTTTTTATATAAATTGTTAAAATATTGGTGTCTGTGATGCAGTAAGTCCAGAGGCCGATGTATACACCATGATTTTAGATAAAATTTACTTTAATGAGTGATAGGACTAAAAAGTGGCCATGTCACCCTGCAGCCCAAGACCGGTTACTCACTGAAGCTAAGCAGGGCTGAGTCTGGTCAGTACCTGGATGGGAGACCACTAGGGAACACTAAGTTGCTGTTGTAAGTGGTGTTAGTGAGGCCAGCAGGGGGCGCTCAACCTGTGGTCTGTGTGAGTCCTAATGCCCCAGTAAAGTGAAGGGGACACTACAGTGTCAGTGGGCGCCGTCTTTCGGATGAGACGTTACACAGAGGTCCTGACTCTCTGTGGTCATTAAAAATCCCATGGCACCCTGCTCCCTCGTGTAAGAGCAGGGGTGTAACCGCGGTGTCCTGGCCAAATTCCCTCTATCGGCTCTTATGATCATGGCCTCCCAATCATCCTCTTTCACCGAATTGGCTCTATCACTGTCTCTCTACTCCACCAATCGCTAGTGTGTGGTAAGCGCACTGGCACCGTTGTCCTGTGACTGCCGTCGCATCCTCCAAGTGGATGCTGCACACTGGTGGAGGTGTGGAGAGACCCCCCCCCCCATGATTGTGAAACGCTTTGGGTGTATGGCCATACACAATAAATGCGCTATATAAATACACGTTACCTCACATTACAAGATACAAATATTTTGTCAATTCAAATGAGTAGCGGCTTGGACCCAGAAACAGTACTCCATACGTCACCGATACATTGCAACTTAACAAGTGGATTGCATGTCTCGACTATGTTGGGGATTGTGATTCAGCTTTGTACGCTTTTAACTTTGTAAATAGTGTTGTAAAGACTATTTTGTCAAATCTATTTAGTCGCTATTTTATTTATGTGAGGGTTTCTGCAGGTTTCACCATGTCAAATTTAAGACTATTAAGAGTGAAATTTCAGACTTATACAGGGCTATATGGCAAGAACTTTTTAATGGTCTGTGTGTGTTTCCGAAAACCATCGTCAATATGAAGATCACTAAAACTGAACCGTAAAAACAGGAGTTAAACATGATTGTGAAGGTGAAAGATTAATATTACTTGTATAATTAATCAGTATAAGTATCAGTGTGATACACTTAAGAAGAGAAAATCTTGAACATTTTTAAATATTCAATTTTAAGAAGCAAATTTTTAAAATATACATAAACTAATTTGAAAATTTGAGTGGACAAATTAATTTAATACCTGCTTCTGCAACAGAATAACTTTCACTCTCAGTCTGAAAAACATCTTCACACTTTCACTATGAAAACACTGGTGCACCGTGTGATCTCCATAGCACTCGTCGGAGCAAGCGGAGCTGCACATCCTGGTTTTCGTGGTTTGGTTTATTAATAGTTTTTTGGCATATAGACGTCTGTGACAGTAGTTTTTCCACTATGTGTTATCATATTTGTTATCATATTTGTCGTTCTGTTAGTGAAAGTAAACTTCGTTTTGCAGTATTTGCACACAGTTTGTGCTTGTCTGGTCATTTTACTCTGCCACCCCACCTCTTACTCGCCATGGATGCAGGTAAAGCGAGTTTGAGCCTGTAAACACAGCGCCCCCTTTGTTCAAAACATGTATCTCGACTCGATCAACATTTCTACCGGTTTGAATTGTCCCATATTTGAATCGATTTTCAATCAACTCACAGTGAACTAATGGAGCCTCGATGAAAAATGATACCAAATAAATTAAATGACAAATATTTTAATTTTATTGTATTATTATGTATTTGTATGCATATGTAAATGCAATCTGCTGACATTTATTAAGATGCAATTTATTTACCATGGAGGAAAAAAAAGATCAAGTGTTTTTTAAGGTTGCAGAAACAATCATTGTTGAAAACCAAAATTTATTATATTTTGAACACACAAAACGGAAATTCATGAATATTTTATAAATAATTGAATATTCTACAAAGTTAATCTGCAACTTTGCAGATGACAACATTAGCATTTAAGGGATAATTCAAACTTCTTTCTTCTGTTGAACATAAAAGTAGAATTATTTGATGAACGTTGGAAGTTGGCAACTTCTATAGTATTTTTTTCCTACCGTGGCTAACAGTTTTAAAATAAATTCACAATTTTGGAGGAGAAAAAAATACTAGCAACTATTCTTAAAAAGACTAATATCAATCTATAAGTCAGCATTACCAAAGTCTGTTGCAGTAGACAAGATCAAGAAACACCGTCAGACATTCAAAAAGCATTATTTCACAGGTCAACCCACTGTGTGTGACCCTCAGGTCCTGTCAAATCCATCAGCACTGGCACAACACCATCTGCCTAATGTCACACTGATCGAAAAATACATCCCGCATGGCCTCAAAAATGCTCAGAAAAAGCATCAGGATGAAAAAGAAGCCCGTTCTGCGGCCCATCATCTTTAATGCCAGACAGATGTGAGACCACTGGACTGGAGGCGAGGGAGAACGAGGGATGAAAACGAGAGAAGAGTGGGATGCATAATTGCAGGTTGACAAAAGCTCACCTTTTGGCGGTGCATTCCTTCTGCAGGTCGGTCAAAGTGGTGCGTTCAGACTCCAGATCCTGCTGTTTGGTGGATGACGCCTCTTCTGGAGAGACAGGTGGAGAGAAGAGAAGGAGGAGGTGAATAAACAGGTAGACTTATGTGTGTGTGTGTTTGTACAGGTGCGAAGGTGTGTCTCGTTTTGATGGCAGTCTATTAAATTGTACTGCCGCAAAATATAGTCTTTCATCATTGGAAGAACATTTCCTCTACAGGCGAAATAAAACTAATTGAGAACCGAAAAATGCTTGTAGGGTTTTTTTAAGTGAATGTAACTGCTCAGTGTAATAATAAAAAGAGACAAGACTGTATAATCAAAAACACTCCTTGAAACTTGAATTCTGTATGATTGGTAAGCAAGATAAGGCATGCTTAGATTACAAAATGTGTATAAAGATGTATTTTTATGATGTCATACTTGTTTATAATTGGACTTGAGCATGTTTGTTGGACATGTGGCCCTATGAACCTGTATAAAAGCGCACACACGCATAAAATAGTGTTCACATTTAACATTTGTACATGAATATGGAAGTTTAGAATTGTAATATTTTAACTAACGACAGTTGCAATGTTGAATCATTTTCACACTAATGCTAAAATGATTTGCACATTTTGTTGTTTGCTTTGACCTAAAAATTTATCAATTAAATTAATCAATCAACAACCTTATTTATATAGCACCGTTTTACAACCAGGAGGCTGTCCAAAAGTGCGTTATAATATTAAAACAAAATTACACAATAAAACACATATGATGGTAAGAACACAAGAGTCAATAAAACAATAAAACAGCATTTTATTAATGATTTCATTTATTATATCTTTAGAGAGAATTTATGGATCTGGAACAAAGGTAAAACAATACCTGCAGGCTATAAATATATACATCTATATAATATTTTATAGCCATATTTTCATTGACTTGTCATTTCATATTTGTCAATAAATATTCTATAATTATATTCTATAATGATAAATATTTTTTATATTATATATCAGGGTTTCTGCAGATTTCACAAAGACAAAATTAAGACCTCTTAAAATCATTATGAATTCAAGTTTAGGTTTATAAGGGTTTTTTCTAATGGCCAATGGAACATGTTTTTACCTGCCCCATTAAAATTCAAGCACATTTTTTTCAAACACATCAACATTTTTTTTAAGAAAGATAATGAAACCAAATTGGTAAATAAAGTAAAAAAAAAAAAAAAAAACTTTGGTTAAATGTTTACTTTTTATTTTTAGTTGTACAGATTGAGTAGCTTTACATGAACAAAGAAAAATTAAGATGTTTAAAATGATTTAAGTCCTTTAAGACCCTTTTAAGCCCTAAAATGTTGTTTTTGAAATTTAGGACATTTTAAACTTTTTAAGACCACGTGGACACCCTGGATCAATCGATCTATCTATCATGCATCCATCCATCCATCCATCCATCCATCTATCTGTCCATAAACACACACACACACACACACACACACACACACACACACACACACACACACACACACACACACATTTATATATATATATATATATATATATATATATATATATATATATATATATACATATATACATACATACATACATACATACATACATACATACATACACACACACACACACACACACACACACACACACACACACACGCAAATGCACATTCAACATATAATAATAATCATAATTCCGGGTCTGCAACAATAAAATAAGCAATATATAATATGACAAAATTCAAACATTATAACTAACTAAATAACAAACATATTACACATAATGCACACGCTTTTGTTATATGGAAATATTGCATTAATAATCTTGCATTATACTTATACGTATCAACTTATAAGTATAAAATATGTGGCTCATTGGTTAGCACTGTCGCCTCACAGCAAGAAAGTCGCTGGTTCGAGCCTCGGCTGGGTCATTTGGCATTTCTGAGTTTGCATGTTCTCCCTGTGTTCATGCTACGGTTTCCCCCACAAGTCAAAAAACATGCGCTACAGGCAAATTGAATAAACTAAGTTGGCCGTAGTGTATGTGTGTAATTAAGTGTGTATGGATGTTTCCCAGTGATGAGTTGCAGCTGGAAGGGCATCTGCTGCCCAAAACATATGCTGGATAAGTTGGCGGTTCATTCCTCTGTGGTGACCACTGATAAATAAAGAGACTAAGCTATGAATGAATAAAATGAAAACGCTGAAATCAAAAGTAAGCTAAAAGTGTCCCGGATTGAACACACACCCTGAAACAGCTCAAAAAAATGCATATTAAAACCGTTAAATTATGAAGGTTTTAAAATAATATGGTCTCGGACTGACGTGCAGAAATCTGGCACTGCATGTTTGTGCACATTCAGTGGAAACGGAACAGTAAATCTCCATCTGATTTGCTGGAAAGAGATACACTCCGCCTAGATTAACAGGCTCGAAGGGTTTTGCTGATGGTGTTCAGACATTTTTCAACAATACAAGCCTGCATGGCCGCACCACCTTCATGTCATCAAAGCCATTTTTTTCACAGAAGGTATGAATGTGTACCAGCTGCAGAGGAATGCATATGTCAGCCCCACTTCTATGCAACACTGCTGTCTACCTTTTTGTTTCAGACATAATATCCATAGGAAAGAGAAAAGATTAAAAGTAGCCTGAAAGCTATAGAGATCAATGCGAGAGAAATAAAGAGAGGAGGAGATTTTAAATTCCCTCTGTAGACGGATCAAAAGAAGAACAGACAGAAAGTGTGGTGTGCCTCAGGTCTCTGTCTTAAAAATGGCACCTATAAATATTAATATATATATATATACTGAAAATATCTAACGTTCAAGGGTTTGGGGTTGGAAAGATTAAAGTTTTATTTAGCAAGAACATAAGATTAAAAGTGACAGTAAAGGCATTGATTTGTTTTGAACAGTTATGCATTTAGCCTCACGGGCTATCTGCTGACACACAGTATTACACCATTGCACTTTGTCTTGAGTTTGAGTCCTGGCTCATGGACCATTCCTGATCCTGTTTTTAATTATTTCCGACTGTCCAGCTACTGTCATAATTTAAAAAGTTGAATAATGGCAAAAAATAAAATATAAAAATGTATAAAAATATATTTATTTATTCATTTTCCTTCAGCTTAGTCCCTGATAGGGTCGCCACAGCGAATTGAACCACCAACTATTCCAACATACATTTCACGCAGTGAATTCACACACACACTCAAACACTACGGTACATTTTCAATCATTCATTTATTCATTCTTTCATTCATTTTCCTTCAGCTTAGTCCCTTTATTCATCAGGGATGCCACAGTGGAATGAACTGCCAACTCATCCAGCATATGATTTACACAGAGGATGCCCTTTCAGCCACAATCCAGTACTGGGAAACATCCACAGTCTTTGGGTTGTGGAGGAAACCCACGCAAACACGAGGAGAACATGGAAACTCCACACAAAAATGCCAACTGGACCAGTCGGACCTCGAACTATCGATTTTCTTGCTTTCAGGGGATATTGCTAACCACTGAGTCTCTGTCGCGCCCACATTTATATATTTTTAGGTAACTATTTATAAATTTATGAAAGAATTCTGGAAAGAAATTATATTATGCAGACACCATGATTCAGTATTTCTGTATGTTTTGTACTGTATTTTTCAATGTTACTGTACCTTATGAATATTATTATATGAACATTTTCATAGCACTCAATAATATTGCCGACATTAATTTAAAAACTGAATAAATATAAATGTACACACATTTACACAAGTAAAGAAACAGACTCAAGGATGAGCTAAAAATCTGTGGAAATCTGCTGATTTCAGCATGCGCAGATTCCAAGTCCGCCTACTGATGACCTAGTCAGTCTTACTGTATATTGTCCTTGCAGAAAATCACCCATTGTTTGAGAGGTGGTGGCGCAAGATCATTAAATATGTTATGCAATAAACATACATCAGTATAAATTAAGAAATTGTGAAATGTTAGTAATTTGTTGTTCAATACAGTTACGGTAATGATAGAATAGAATTTAGCTACAATACTTAGTTTGTTTATAAATAATAATATACAATGCTTTTAATGTTGTAATGTTCATGTGAGAACTTGTAGCACAATAAGATAAATGATAAAAAATAGTACAGAATTAAGTTTAATTTATTCTAACGACCACTGTCATTATTCTCATAAGCAGAACTGTTACAGCATGAACAATATTAAAATAAACAAAAAATTATCATTAAATTATCCCATTAGTATTATATCTGACAGATTATGTGACAATAAAAGCTGGTGTAATGGTTATTTTAAATACTTACTCATAAACTGTACAGACAAAGACACACACACGCACGCACGCACACACACACTGACATCAAAAAATTATATCTTGTTTTTATTCCACGGCTGAAAATTGAAGAAACTGTTTCAGATTGTCCTCATGAGGGAGGAGTAAACAATGAGGATTTTTGGGTGAACGGTTCCTTTAAAGAGCTGATTCTTGTCTGTTCTTTTCCACTTCAGTTAAATAAAAAAGGGAAGATGAGGGAAGATGAGTGGAAAGAGAGAAAAATCAAAGCAAGACTGTCTGGTTAAAAAAAATAAAACAGCTTTGTTCTGACCCGCACTTGTAAAAACAGAGCGCGTCTGCTTTATAATATGCCTCACATTCTCTTCTCTTTTTACAACTCTGTGGGATCTTTCTGTCCTAAAGCCACGCTTGGCGGGACGTCCCAGACCCTCGTGCTGTCTTTCAGAAGACATGGGAGGTGTGAACCAGGAAAATTGGAAGAGAGATCATTGTCGCTCGAGCAAAGCGGTCCCATATGCAAAGCCTTGAACCTCTCATTAGGACGAGTCGGCAGGAGAAAAAAAGAAAGTGCCAGAGGCTTGGAGAAAAGACGGAGTGGCCTAAATGCTTTTGTTCTGTTTAAACGATCCCCTATGACGCACTCTGCTTTAGTAATATCGCCTCCGTCGGCCATCAGAGTTGTCAGCACCAGGTTTAGGCCTCCTCTGCGCTGCCCGCACCTTTTCCTAAACAC